TCCCTCTATGGATGTGGCCCCTCTATGGATGAGGAAGGACATTTGCAGAGTGTGGTGGGGGCTACAGAGACAACCTCCAGCCATGCCCCCCCCCACCTCCTCAGAACTTGCCTTGGTGTGCTCAGTCCTACTTGTTGGCCCCTGTGAAACCTCTTCTCCCCCCTCTCTGCCCTGCACAGCCCTGCATCCAGGGCTCTTTCAAACAGAAAGCAAGGCAATGAGGCAAGGTACCTGATCCTGGGAAAACTCCATTCTGATCCCTAGGCAACCTCTTATAATAGCCTATAATGTGTGATGAGCCCCTTCACTCCCTGGGCCCCAGTTTCCCTATCTATAAAGAGATGCCCTGCCTACCTTTCCCTCCCAGGGTTACCCTAGACTTTAGTGTAAATGCATGCATCAGGGCACTTTGAAAATTATTTTTGCATCACCGGTGCGGCCCCTTCTTCTCTGTTACCTCACATCCAAGTTCTCAGGAAATCCTGTCAGCTGGACCTTCAAGATGTCCCTAGAATATAGGTAGCACTGCACCAATAGCCACCAAACTGGATTTCCTATCTCTGTTTGGGTCCCTGCCCCCCTTCAAGTCTGCTCTCCACCAAACAGCAAGAGGAATTTGGAGTGGGGAAACCCGGAATTGAACTCGGGGGCACTTAACCACTAAGCCACATCCCCAGCCCTATTTTGTATTTTATTTAGAGACAGGGTCTCACTGAGTTGCTAAGTGCCTCACTTTTGCTGAGGCTACCTTTGACCTCATGATCCTCCTGCCTCAGCCTCCCGAGCTACTGGGATTACAGCTGTGCGCCACCTCGCTGGGCTGCAAGAGAAATTTTTTAAAAGTATAAATTAAAACATGACCACCATGGGTTCAAACCCTAGCATGAGGGTTGGGGATGGACAGCAATCATCCTCCAGTGGCTCAGGTGGACAGAAGCCAAAGACGCTTCAAGTCATCTGCCAGGTTCTGGTGGTCTGCTGCTCTCCTGGCCTGCGCTCAGGCCTCTCTCTCTACCTGGTTCACTGCTTTCTAGTGTGCCTGGCTTTCAGAGCACACGCCCACTCCAGGGCCTCTGCTCCTGTGCATCCCTCTATTGGAGCGCATCATGGGCTCCTGACTCCTTCAGACCTCCGTCCAGGGACTTGCAGCAAGACCTCTTCACTCCACAGCACTGGGCTCGGGGCTCCTGGTTCTGTGTCCCTGACTCTATTGCTCCCTGCATCTCCTTCCTCCCAGAGCCAGCTGTCTGCTCACTCACCTGCTTGCTCCTCTCTGGCTCCCTGGACAGAACATCCGTTCAGAGCTGAGTCCCCACAAGAGTGCCTGGCACGTAGTAGATGCTCAGCAAATGTTTGGTGAATGAGTGAGTGAATGAGTGAATGGAGCTGGGTGTTATTCTCATTGCTTTGACTTAGCTCTCTTTACAGAGACAGGCCCTGGCGTATGTTTGGAGATATCTCCATGAGGCTGCATGTCCGGCAGGGAGTAAGCCTGAAGCACTGGGATTGGACTTTATGGCTCTTACAGGAAAGTGGGGATAGTACCCATGCAGGCTCATGAGAAATTTCTTAATGCGTATATAAAAATTAGTCTTGGAATGTATAATCTTATTTTTAAAAGAAGCTAGGACTAAAATATGCCGAGTGTTAGTTTTATTCTGCAAACATCGTTGCAAAAATGCAGTGTCTTGATACAAGTTTCCTCAGCTTCTTGCTAATTTCCTACTTCCTGTGACAATACAATAGTTCCAAAGCCCAGTTCTTTACAAGAAGGAAATGGTGACAGTGACCTTGGAAGTGGGAGGGTGGAGGGGAGGAGTGAGAAGAGAGAGGCTCTTCTGGAGGGATGGGCCGGACAGGTGTGCCAAGGATCATGTGGAAGAGATCAGTCGGGTGGCAAGTTTGTTCAGAAGGAAGAGTCTGGGCTCTGCTTGGTGACAGGGTGTGCAGAGGTGTGCCTGGTAGGAAGGATGTCATAAGCAAAGGGAGTCGGTGGGACAGAGGTAGGTTGTAGATGGCTTTCAGTGGAGCAGGACTTGGGGCACAGAATGAGAAGCAGCTTGGCCACTGGATGGGAAGGTCTGCAGCCTCTTTTCAGTGTGTGCTGGTGGAGTGCTGAGCACATGGGCCAGGATAGAGCTCTCCTGGGAGCCACTGGGGGTGCTGAAGTGGGACTAGAATTGCAGGTACCTGCAGAATGGATGGAAACAGAACCCACCCTCTACCTCTCTAGTTACCACCTCTCCAGGCCCAGGAACACTTTTCCCTGAATAAGAGGAACCCAAATGAGCCTGAGGGACTTTTAAGTTTTGGGTTGTTCCCAGGTGGAAGGGCGCTCCGTGTGTCACACTTGGACACAGTCCCACAACACAGCTGAGGGAGCCCTTTGTGGTCAGACGGCTCCGGGTTTGAGTCTGGGCTCTGCCCCTCAGTAACCAAGTGGCCTAGAAGCCTGGCTTCTCTGAGTCTCATTTCCTTACCTGTTTGAGAGTGTGGAGACTGTGTACCTGTGAGACAATGTACCTAAGGTTCTTGGCCTACGGCCTACCTGGAAGAAGTGTCTGGGGGCCACCGTCATGACCCTTACTAACAGGAACATATGGCCACCAGATGCTTCCCTGACAGTAGCACTTCCCTGACAACAGAGGACCCAGCTCAGCCACCCACCTGGAAGGGACCAGGTTCAATTTCTAAGAGCCATGCATTAACGAAGATGACCTACATTTTGCAGACGCAAGTGCCCCTTCAGACACTTTTCGTTGGCTGACTACTTTCAGCTGTTCCAAGCATTTCCATATTTCCGCTTCTTGTCATCTGCATAGCTCCTCAGTGAGGTAAGTAGGATTCATGGATGGAAGAGGGGAGCTGTCTCACTCTGTTGTGGGCTCTAAGGAGAGCAGCCCGGCCATGACTGGCAGTGTGGTATGGTGAGCCCTGGTGCTGGCTGCCCTGAGCATCCTTGTCACACACACGAAGCTCAGCCTTCCAGAGTCCTCAGTATGAGACCTGACTGTGGCCAGGAATGTCTCCCTGGGTTGGATTTGGGCCCTGACTCCTACCTGGGGCTGGCCCTCCCCCCATAATTTGCCTCCTGCCGAAGGGGCAGAAGACACAGCGGGTGCTGTCTCTTGCTGGTCCCCTCCTGCTGTCTGGGTACCATGGCAACAGATGGATCGCTCAGAACCATGGTACTTCTATCACCTAATTCTAAATGCCACCACTGCCCTGAGCTGTCCAGGTTGACCCCGAGAAGATCCACAACTCTTCAGAGCAAGAGCCCCTTTCAGGCACTGAGAGCTGGGCTGCTGGTCAGCCTTGGAGGTCACCTCAACAGCAGGTCCCTGCGCTCACTCTCGCCTCCAGGAATCACTGTGGAAGTCTTTCCATGAATTTCCTGGCTTCCCGCCATGAGAGCAAGGACATGCTTTAGGAAATGGTGTTTGTCTCCTTATAGATTTTGAGGAGGCCCATGCTTTCATTAAAATTTTAGGAGCAGCACTTTGCATAGAGTAGGTTCTCACAGCAGGCCTTGGTACCAGGCCTGGATGGGCTGTGACCAGCAGAACCAAGACTTAGTAGCTCATTGGTGGAGGAGCTGGCACTGCAAGCCAGATCACAGATGGGGATATACACAGGTGAGGATATACACACGTATCCATACACATGTGAACACACACACACATACTGAAAAAAGACGGAAATAGATATTCAAAAATGCCAATAAGTGTTATCTGTGGCTGGATGAGATTATGGAGGACTTTTAGTCTATTTTACAAATTTTTTTTCCTATAATTTCCAACTTCTATTCTGAACTCATATAAAATGACTTTGGAAATTAGATATTTTAAGAATTTTTGAGGGGAGAAGAAAAGTAGGCTGGGCATAGTGGTGCATGCATGTAATCCCAGCAGCTCAGAAGGCTGAGGCGGGAGGATTGCAAATTCAAAGCCAGCTTCAGCAAAAGTTAGGTGCTAAGCAACTCAGTGAGATTCTGTCTCTAAATAAAATACAAAATAGAGCTGGGGATGTGGCTCAGTGGTTGAGGGCCCCTGAGTTCAATCCCCGGTACCCCACCCCCACCCCCAAAAGGCCTCTAAGGACTGCCCTCCACCATCCTAAATTTGCTGCTGGATTCTAAGGAGACATCCCTGCTGCTTTCAATTGCCTGAGAACAAAAGGAAGGCTGCCGAGGCATTTCAGCTGGAAGAGTGGGGGTTATGATTCTACAGTGTTTTGCTTGTACACCCAACTATAAAATGAGACATCTTGTGTTTTGAGTAAATCTCTTCCATTAATCATGGGGATACTCCAGGTCTATCCGGCAGAGTGACTGGTATAATTACAGATTCTGTCTCCCGAGGATAATGCCAGCAGTCAAGTGGATCGTGCACAAAGCAAGCCCAAGCCTTCCTGGAGCTGGGAGGGATGTGGTTCTTCTCTGAGTCATGGACACCAAGGGTGAGAAAGGCTGGTGGAGACAGATGTGTGGCCACCGCTACTGCGAGTATTTCCCAAGGATTCCCAAACAGGTAAATAAATTTGGTATCAAGAAAGGATTTCCATAGTCCAGGAATCTCTTTGAGGACAGATGACCCAAGCCTGACAGGTGAGTTCTCCAGTCAGGCTGTGTCTCTTTGGTGAGCAAAAACAGTTTGTCCTTATCCAGGGGTTGTGGCCAGTTTAGTCACACACTCCATGAAAATGCATGCAATTTAGAGTCCAAAGAGGGGCATGAAAAATGACCGATAAAATGTGTCAGTGCCTAGTCACAAGGCCATCTGTCATTCCTGTTTCCTCCCCAGGGGTTTGGGGACAATGCCATAAAGATAGAGGGTGACTTGGCTCTGGAATCCTGACAACATGACAGCCTCTTCCCTGCTAATGTCCACTCGTGGTAAGGCAACGTGACTCAGGTCCAGCTCAAAGAAGAAATCCTTTGTAAGAGTCCATATAGGTTATTTTCATGTCTATAAATGATGACATTGAATAGAAACCCTTTCTAATTCAGCCTTTTCCATCCCCTATCTCCTGATAAAAACAGCAACTAACAAGAAAGATAATGAGGAGGTGAGATGATTCTTGGCGCGGGGGGTGGGGGGCAGGTTCTCAACCCTCTAATCTTTTTGTGCTTTCTTGGCATCTTGAGATGCAGAACCTGCATTAATTAGCCCCGTGACCTTCCCCCAGTGGATCCTACTGCCAACAATGACCCTTAAATTCCTGCTTGTCCTCCATCACCCAGCTTCTGACCTCAAAATACGACAAGGGTCACAGCCACGTTAATCACATGAAGCCAAGAGAGGAAAGATGAAGGCTTGAAACTAAATCTACCTTCTTGCATCCTGTTTCCAGAAGGAAGAGTATGTAGCCCTGAAAAAGGTGAGAACACAGGGATTCCAAGCAGAGGGAGCCCTTTGTCTTAGGACACAAGGAAAAATAGGGCATCAAGAGAAGGGATTTGCCATTGTAAAGTGTGACCCACACAGCAGAGTTCACAGTAAAGCATGACTGGGCAGTGTGGCTAGTGGGTCTGGCACTGATGGGGAGAACTGGGACATCGGGGCAGATGGGAGTGTGCCCCCAGTCCATTTCTTGTACCTCTGCCCCTACAACGACCTTCAGAGTTGCTGCTTTGCTTCTACCTCTCAGATCATGTAGAACTTCCATTCTGGCCAAATGGAACTTAAAACTACACAAAGGATAGAATTTGTTGGTGGTTATTTTGATACTGGGGATGGAACCCAGGTGTGCTTAACCACTGAGCAACATCCCCACCACTTTTTATTTTGAGATGAGTCTTGCTAAATTGCTTAGGACCTCACTAAGTTGCTGAGGCTGGCTTTGAACTCATGATCCTCCTGCCTGAGGCTCCTGAGCCACTAGGATCACAGGTATGCGCCACTGCATCTAGGTAGTGCAGGATTTTTTTTTTTTTTAAACAGAGAAGATTCATTTATTTATTTATTTATTTATTTTTTGAGAGAGAGAATCTTTAATATTTATTTTTTAGTTATCGGCGGACACAACATCTTTGTTTGTATGTGGTGCTGAGGATCGAACCCGGGCCGCACGCATGCCAGGCCAGCACGCTACCGCTTGAGCCACATCCCCAGCCCTGCTAGTGCAGGATTTTGAAAGACATAGTTTCCAGAGTGAACAGGTTAACAGAAGAACAAGCCGGCCCAGGTTGCAAACCTGGGTGGGGGCATGATTAGGGTATGAGCTCTGGAAAAAAAAATGCAGTCTGTCTACAGACTGTCAGAGGGAGGGAAGGACGCTTCACCTGGAGATCAGAGAGGGGAGAGCTGCAGGTCAAGGCAGGGATGACATCCTCCGCCCCACGGCTGCGTTTCTATTTCAGCTCACCTGGACTTCTGAATGAGACTCTTCTCTTTTAAGTCTTCCAGACATTTAGTAGCGTGAGTGTATGTCAGTCAGGGTTCAGCACAGGAAACAGAGCCCTGTATTCTCTAATACAGTGAAGTGGGCATGCACACAAGTCACTAGAAGCAGTGGGGAAGTGGAGTCCAGGGGCCAGCGCTAGATTGGAGATTTCCACTTCCTGTGGTTGAGTCAGGACACTGTTGCCATGAAGCTGAAATGACAGCAGCTGGAACTGGCTCCTGCAGTTGCTCAAACCTATTGCAGCTTGATCGTCACCCTTTCTGTCCCATGCCACCTCCTGGATTCCTGTGCCTTCCAAAACAAAGTACCACCAACTGGGTGACCTAAAACAATAGGGGATGATTCCTTCACAGTTTGGGAGGCTAGACCTCTGAAGTCAAGGTCACCACAGGGCCGTCTCGAGACCCTCAGAGACTCTGGGTAGAATCCTTCCATGCCTCTTGCTAGTGTGAGGGTGGCCACCAAATCACGGCATTCCTTGATTTACAGCACATTGCTCTGAACTCTGCCCCTGTCATCACATGGCACTGTCCCCAGGTGTCTTCCCATGGCATTTTCCTCTTCCTATAAAGAGACCAGTCATATGAGATGGAAGTCCACCCTAGGATCTCATTTTAACTTGACTACGACTGCAAAAACCCTATTTCTAAACAAGGTCACATCCTTGGGCATTTGACTTTAGAACTTCAACACATCCTTCTAGGGGACACAATTTAACTCACGGATCTTTTCTAAACTGTATGGAAGCATCTCACCCGCAGAACCTCAGTCACCTCCAGATCTGCAGCCAGGCAGACTGGGAGATGCAGGGTCAGTTTTCCAACTCTCCAAATACAGTGAGGGCAAATAAGTGAGGAGAGCCCATCCCATGCGCGCATCACAAGAGGCTACCGTGTAAGCACTGCCATATCTGGCTGAATAGATTATGCAATGGTGATACACAGAATGAGAGATAGTGCTCCAGAGTGGTCAGCAGCTCTGGGGGGGAAGTCTGGTGGTTGAACTCTGGTCCTGCCCCAAGCAGGGTCTTGGAATAGTCAGTTACTTCTCTATAACCCTCAGCTTCCACATCTGTGATTGGGAACACTAATAGCAGCCCCTTCTCAGGGTCAGGGTTTATGTGAAGACTAAAGTGAGGCAGTGAACTTAAAGTCCCCAGGGCCGGGCACACAGTAAGCAGCCTGCAGATGGGAACTTCTATTAAGTTATCAACCTTACGAAGTTTATTCTGTGTCCTGTCATGTAGGGATTTGGATGAAACACAGAGGCAGAGATGAGCTGTACAGAAAAGTCCTCTGGAATGTGTAGGACTCTATGTTAAGATCAGAAACTCCAGGAATGTAAGCCAAGGTATAAATTTCCTGCAGCTAAGAATTGTCTCACTTGCAGCATTGACCCATCAGCATGCCAAGAAGCTGAGGGATTTGGTAGTGGTTGGTCAGATTTGTTGAGATAAGAAAAAGTAGCTGTCAGTGACTACTGGGGTTTTTCCTACACAGGTAATTGTTATGTGTTTGTTCTTGAAAAAGGGAAACAGAAGTCATGTTGACCAGGTTTAGGGCTCAGATCACACACTTATTTTGTGTGTAGTTTTTTAAATGCACAATTAATTGGAGATAACTTTTTGAAGGTCAGCAAGACTTGCCTGGGGACATATTTTGAATTTTATTCTTATTAAATCTGTCTCTTTAAGTACTATAAAGCAGGTAAGTCAGAAATCAGATATTTATTTCTCAGACTGGGCCACAGGGAAAATTCAGTTGGCAAAAATTTAGCCTTATATAATTCAATGATTTAAAAAAAAAAACAATCCAACACAAAAATAAGTAGAAGATTTGAACAGACATTTCATTGAGGAAGATATACAAATGGCCAATCATCTGAAATAGTCACCCCCCCAACCGGGAAGAGCCCAAGGGTCCATCAACTGGTGAATCATTCAATAAATTGCAAATTACAGAGAATAATAGTGTACTATACACTTTTTAAAAAACTAGAAAAAGGGATTTATTTTTATTTTAATAGGTTAATTTTTTCCACATTTTTATTGGTGCATTATAGTTGTATATAATGATGGGATTTGTTACATATCCGTGTATGCACCCAAAATAACAACACAATTTGTCCAATATCACTCCCAGCACTTCTCCCTTGATAAAGAGATTTTGAATCTTTTCACTAAAAAGAAACAATAAATGTCTGAGGAGATAGATGTTTACCCCGATTTAAATATTATATAATGTATGCATGTATTGAAACATCACATGGTATCCCATTGATATATAGTTTTTATGTTTTTAATAAATTTAAACAGAAATTATTTATTTTACAACATGATTTATTTTCAGTTTAAAAATAAATATTATGCACATAATGGAATACCACTTAGCAATAAAAAGGGAAAAGACAGCAATCTATGGAACTCAGATGAAATCTCCAAAACACAATGCCCAAGTCAAAGAGATCAAACACAAAAGATGATGTGCTACATGAGTACATTTATGTGATATTCTAGAAACTCTAATGGCAGAAAGCAGGTCAGAGGAGCCTGAGTCTGGTGGGGGAGGGAACAGCTCGACTGAGGCAGGGCGATTTCTTAGGTTGAGGGAATTGTTCTGGTCTGGACTGGGATGTTGGGTATGTTCCTGAACCTATTCCTAGCAGCCGGACTCTATCCTGGGAAGAGCCCAGATATGGGGAGAGTATTTTGCCAACTTGGGGCCAGGAGTGAAAATAAAGAGGGAATTGATTGACTTCTATTTCTCTCTTTGTCCACCGTGGGTTTCTGACAAGACTGTTTTCTTTGGAGAACATTTACTATGAAGAGAGCTTAAATGATTTAAAGCTTGCAGGTGGGTGGGGAAGAACTGGATCAGGCTGTCAAACTGGCCCAAAGCCTTCTCCAAAGCCCCCTCCACCTACATATTCTTTGCTTTGAATCTAATTTCCTGTTCCTGGTGGCCACCAGGGCAGCTCCGTGGCCCTCCCTAGCTGCCCTCCCATCTTTCTTTGTCCCTCTCTTTCTCCGAGCTGAGGTGCTGTATGCATGACAAGATGAGCTGAATGTGACTTGGGAGGCGGAGGTGAAGACCTGGGAACAGCTAGAGACACGGGGGTCCCTGGACTTCACTCTGCTGTTTGCAGATGGACAGCCATCAAGAGCAGCGCATCCACGTCTGAAGGGACCTGACGTCAGTAATGTCTGGGTTTCTTGCTCTTCCCTTCAAGCCTTCTGACTACTCTAGCCTTTTACAGAAAGAGAGTCAGTGATTCATTCCAGAACGTTCTATGTGCCAGATACTGCACAGGGCGACAGAGACTGTAAGATAAACAGGGAAAGTGTCCTCCATCTTCCTGGCACTCACAGTCTGATTGGAGGAGACAGACAAGTTGGCAGTGACTGCTGTGTAGAAACCTCAGAAGAAAGCTGTAGAGAAACCACTCTGGGAACACAGAGGGAAAAAAATGCTCTCTCGGCATGCTATTTTTTAAAATAGAAAATTACTTTCTCTCTACTTCCCATTACAGAATTTTAAAAAGTATCCTGGTGGGATATTACTGGGCTGCCCAGGATGTCCTCGTGCCTTAGATCAGCACCTCCCTCCTTTCCCACCCCAGCTCCCACCCTCTGCTGCTTTCAGAAGTGACGTCGTCTCAGCCAGGCAACTAATACTGACCGTGATTTCAGGGCAGGGCTGGGTGCACCTTTGCAGATCAGGCCAGTGTACATGGGCAGCTCATCTGCAATTCAGCCAAGAGGCAAATCCAGATGGGTCTGAGCCCAGGAGGAACAGCTGGAGTGAGAGGAAAGAATGGAGTGGGAGGTGGGGAGGCAAGGTCAGGAGGAGCGCCAAGCTTCATCCTGGGGGTTGATTACAGAGTCCCTGTGATTGCAGGAGGGAACATGTCCTGGGGGGTTACTGAGATCCCCTGATTGGACCTCTGTAAAGACAGTGTGCATCTCACCTGTGCCAAGCACCATGCCAAGAGCTTTCTCTGTGCCATGCCTCTACACAGATTTACTCTTCTTATATGGTTAAGATTCCACAAATCAACAAGATCTATAGATTAGACTAAAAAGAAACACATCTAATGTACATATGGAAGTTTGCTCTGATTCCTTAAATAGTCAGGTATGAAAACTAAAATTGGACACCATTATATTTTCATCTCTTATAAATTTTTTAAAGCAAATCCTAGTTTGGTGAAGTTTTGGTAAAATGGTGAAGCTTTGGTAAAAGGAGCTCATTCATGGCTGGTAGCTGCACCAGTTTATACAATAATGGCATTTTGTCAATGTGCATAGAAAGTCTCATGCATTATATTGGTCCAGTATTTCCATTTGTAAAAAAAGATAGATAAGGTTTTATACATTGATGTTTCTCATCAAAGTATACAATCTGTATCTTCAGAGCAAAAATTGGGAATTACTCGAACAACTTACAGTAGGAAAACTGGTCAAACAATGGATAGAAAACACACACTCTTATGCCACAGAGAAACTATCATAGTTATAATTTTGTTTTTAAAAGAATATTTATTCATTCTTCTGCCATTCTGTCTTTATATACATGCAGAGAAGAAAAGACTGGGAAGAAATTCACTGAACATAGTTTTCCTTGGGATGGTAGGATTATGGGCTATCTTTAGTGTGTGTGTGTGTGTGCGCGCGCGCACACATGTGCGTGCGTGTGTGTGCACGCTTTAAATTTTCCTATAATGAATTTGACTTAGTTTTGTTATCAGAAAAAGATCATTTTAAAAAATCTGTATTCTTGCAAAAAAAAAAAAAAATGAATCGAATCAAGACTTGAGTCCCAACTTCAGTTTGCATGAGAGGAATACACTGTCACTATAAAGAAACAATCTCACAAAATGCAGGACATTCTATAAAGAAACTGATCATTGGTTCCAAAAACCAGTGTGACAAGGGACAATCAGGTTGGAGAGTCATGCTAGATGACTCAGGAAAGGCAGTTTTCAATGAAGCATCTATACCTTTGTCCTGTCCTGATGAAGAGCCAGCTCTGAAAGACACAGTGGAGATGGTGGAGGAGACCTGAGTGTGGATTGATGTTTTGTCTCCCTCGGCCACACGACAGATTGCAGCTCCCTGACCTGCACCCACCCCAGGACTATGATCCGTATTAGAGATACCCAGAGAAGCCATCACATTAAGTTCCCCAGCATGACAAGACTTCTGCACAACCTCAAACTAGCATATTTTTCTTATCCATTTTACGTAATATACCTATCAGGACCTACCTAAAATCAATTTAGATTTGCTACACTTTCCGTTGGTACCCATCAATGAAACATCAGTTTTTTTAGCTGCTTGCACAGGTAATTCTTCCCAAGACTCGTAATATGGTGGGGACAGGAGGCACAAGGCTGGCCAGAAGAAGATGGAGGAGACCCCACCACCACCACACCAGCTTCTCTCCACCGCACTGACATCATCCAACTCAATCCTGGACCCAGGAGAGGTTGTGGGTGTGTCTGTTTCTAATTAACAGTAGAAACTTTTGGTCGAAGGCCCAGAATTTCCCAATAAAGTGGCCAATTTTATCTCACTAACTTCTGTTATTTGATTCAAAAACTTCTGTTTGAGGGTGGAAGGACAAAAATAACTAACTGGTAATCATTGTCCCTAAGGTTTAGTACAATATGTTAATATTTTGAGTCTAACAAACTTTCTCTCTGGAGCAGTATTCTATCTTCTGGGATGTTCTGTTTGCAGAACTTAGATAAATCTTGGCTATGTGCAGTGACGTCCTTAACCTGACATAACCCTTTCCCCCTGTGCCGCTTCCCACAAAATGTTCTCACAAGATGGAGTCACTGATGGCAAGCAATTTGCCTCACTGTGATTCCAACATAACCTCTATGTGGTGCCAAGAGCCTCCACAGACCTGGAGTGAGTGAATCTCAGGATGACAGCATGAGGTTGAATGGGACCACACTCCCAGTTAGGTCAACTTGGACCCTATTTGGAAAATAGGATCTTTATAGATGTAGTTAGTCAAGATGAAGCCATCCTGGATTAGCATGAGCTCTAAATCTAAATCTGTATTCTTTTGTGTGTGTGTGTGTGTGTGTGTGTGTGTGTACTAGGGATTGAACTCAGGGGTACTTGACCACTGAGCCACATCCCAGCCCCATTTTGTATTTTATTTAGAGACAGGGTCTCAATGAGTTGCTTAGGGCCTCGCTGTTGCAGAAGTTGGCTTTGAGCTTGCAATCCTCCTGCATCAGCCTCCCCAGCCGCTGGGATTACAGGCATGCACCACTACACCCGGCTACATCTTATATTCTTTGCTAAGAAAGTCATGTGAACGAAGAGACACAAACACACAGATGATGGCCCTATGATGATGGATGCAGGCTGGCATGATGTCAAGACTGCCAAGGACTGCCTGTGACCACCAGAAGATAGGAAGAATTCAAGATTCTTGAGAAGGATTCAAGAGACAGAATCCTCCCTTGGTTCAGAAAGAAAGAGAGAGGGAGGGAGTGAGGGAGGAAGAGATAGAAAAGAAAAAGCATGGGACACTTGATTTTTAACGTTCACCCTCTGGAACTGCGATGACCAGACGGCAGTCCAAGGAGCCAACACAGGTGCAGAATGGGCAGCTGTGCCGGGTACAGCTCACTTCCTGAATCACAGGGGGAATCACGATGCCTTTAAGAGATGTGCAGCCTCCCGGGTAATCTAAAAGGCAGAAGGAAGGTGTCCCTATCCTAGCTATATATATATATATATATTTTTTTTTGGCAGTCTGTCTGCTTTGCCAATGTTCAAGAAGGGATACTTTAAAAATTAATGTCCCCTAGCCAAATCAATTCCAGGAAAGCTTTGCAAAATAGCTCTCTGCTGTGCCTCCTAATTTTCCCCTCCAGAGGGGACAACCTCAGGCCCCATCAATGCTACACAGGGAATGGAATAATTCAGTGTTGGTGCCAGGGACAGAACGCAGGGGAGGGCAGGGCCACCGTCTGTCTTTCTATGGGTGGGCATAGTCACAGCCAGAGTTTCCATTAGGACAGAAGCATTTAGAAATACAGCCATGTTAGAAATGGTCCAGGGGAGCCGGCTGCTGTTCCAGAGGCCTGTGCTGGGCTCTGAGTTAACCCACTGCTTCTTACTGGGAAGCGGGGCATAGTGTTTTCAGAGTTTGCCAGTCGGCTGCGGAGCGGTCCTTGGTCCTTGAGTGGAATGCCTGAGACTGGGGCCGTTGCTCAGCAAGGCAGGGACAGCAATGAGAGTGGTTTACAGCAAGGCAAGAGAAAGGCAAGAAAAAAGTGAGATATAACTCAGAGAGTGGGTGGGCAGGCGGCTGGGGACTGAAACATGCCTCCGTGGTTAGGTTTCAAGCTTGCATTAGGAGGGGGTGGGAGCTTGCAGTGGTGTGAAACTGTGGAGTGGCAGGCAGCCACGCCTCTTTGGGCCTGGAGTTTGGGCAGCTGCTGACCATTTGGGGGAGGAGCTTGTGGGCACCTGCACTGCCTTGAAAATATGGCATATGTCCGTAAAACCACAGGAGTGAGTGCAGGGGAAGACCAGTGGTACCCTTTGGTGGCTCTAAGTAATCTGCCCACCTTCCTAAGATGGGGCTCCTTCTGTAGTCCCACCGATACAGGGGAGGGGGAATTAACGTCCTTATAGAGTTGTATGATGGTATGGATGCCTCTGGGTCAGTTGCCAATCAGGGTCTTTTTATAGTCACCTTCCTCTGTGGTTGCCCCCCCCCCATTCCTGCTCACCCCTAGCAGCCTCACAATAGCTGGGTTCTTTTTCCCATGAGAAATGGATTTACTAATAACTCATTTGGCAAACAGCGATTGGGCATTCATGTGTGAACACCGCAGAGCTTCCTGTAGGAAATCAAAAGATGAAAGTCATGAGGTCCCATCCTCTGGGGAGCTGTCAGTGAAACATATTAAGTAGGGCTTGAATGCTTAAGTGCTCCACAATGAGTCCTTAGGAGGTTTCTTATCCAACTCCCTGCATCCTGCTGAAGAGAAACCAGAGGCTTAGTGATTTGCTTCCAACCCAGCAACATCAAGGAATCTCACCCACCGGAGGGGTTGGAGCAGAGCTCAATTCCAAGTCCCATGCTCCTATCTCTGTGGACACACACATACACATTCCCAGGGAATGAGGGAGGGGTGGCAGGAGGCAGTCAAAGCCCAGGGCCACACTTCCAGGTTGACCCCTGTGTGGGAGAGAGAGGAGCCTATTGAACGTGTCCTGATAATGTTACCATGAGAATCCCAGCCTCTGTGGGCAGGGGTGGGGATAGACGAAAGGTTGAGGGTAAATATGGCAGGGGAGAGAGTGACACTGTTCTCAAGGACCATATGGTGAAGGAGGGAAGAGACTAAGCGTCTTAAATTCATGGCAGCAGCCTCAATCTATTACCAAGGGGCAGAGGCACTTAAAAATCCCAAGATCCTGACTGCACCCTTTGGGTGTGGCCTGGACATCCACTCTCTGAGCTTTCATAGTTCTATGATGGTGTTTCTTACTCCTCCCTGTTTTTAAAAACGTCCACGAGGGAATCTTGGAAGGTATGGGCAGGGCATAGGGTTCACCTCTGACCACACCGGGGTCTGCCCAGGTCTGGGTGAGGACACTGGCTCGCTGGCTCTGGACCACTGTGTATGTGTGTTTTGTGTGTGTTTAAAATTAGGAATGATTTACAGATAGTAAAATTGACCCTTTGATGTTCAGAGCTTTGTGAGTTTTGACGGATGGATAGAATTGTGTGATCATCGCTACAATCAAGATTCGGATCAGTTCTAATGCCCAAAATATTCTCAAGGGATGCTTTCCAATGCAGTTCCAGTGACACGGTTTAGGTTTCAAACACGATTCTCCCCACCCCCAATCCTCTGCCTGAAAGAAATGTGTCCCAGGTACCTTCTATTTCTAGCGTGGACCACTTTTCTGAGAGTTGGAAGCAACGATTCACCCAACAATCCAGCTCTGCCTCATTAGAGCCGCTGTCGAAAAAGCCAAGTTGCTAATGTCACTTTTCTTGCTCCTCCTGAGGCCAATTTTCTGGACCTGAACAGCACCCACAGTCAATACCTCCTAAGATCGCAGAGATGACTTCTGTGGGAGGAAAAAAAAAAAAAATCACCTGTTTCCCAGAGCAATCACAGGCTTGGGCCACACCAGCTGTTCCCAGCTCTGGAAAAATCATTTAATTGGTTTGGAGGTCACAGGATCCTCTTCCAATTAGGGTCCCATCACACCAGCTGCCACCTGCACTGGGGACAATCAGACGGGGCTTTGTAGGACAAACAGGCCCACTGTTAGCAGCAGCCACAATCCTTTGGAAGCATCTGGCTCCTTCTCAGAGGCAGAGCTCATCTTCATCTCCCGGTCAATTATTGGGGAACAAGGAGGAAATGAACAGAACAGGGATCCTCAGGGATCTAAGGACAGGGCAGGGCTGCAAGGATAGGGAGGAGCTTTCTGCATCTTTCAGACACCTGCCCACCGTGGGTCCTGCGGCCTGTGGACTGCATCCCCCACCCCCGTGATGCTGACACAACATTCATTCTGCCTCTGTCTCAATGCCAGGGAGGGGACCTGGTGACGAGCTAAGTGGCAGGAACATGCTGCACAGGGAGCAGTGCGTGGGAGTATATTGAACAAAATGTTCTCGTGTGAGGAGGCCTTGAGAGAAAATGGAGTCGGGTGTGGGGCACTGAGGCTAAATGGTGAAGTCAACGACTGGAACCACGCCTTCTAGTATCTAAAGTCATGTCTGCTGTGTCCGGGGGTCCCGGAGGATCAGCTGCCCCCTGGACTTTGGAGTGATCCTAGTCTAAGCACAGCTCCCAGACAGACCAGGACTAAGGCTATTAGAGGAGGCTGAGCAACTGAGCCTGTGTCAGACAGGATTTGTTGGGCCCCTACCCCACCCCAACATACTTTCATCAGGGTGTGGAGAGGGGGCTGCTGTGGTCCCCACCTCAGCCCTGACCAAGCCCAGTCCTGGGACTATGGTGGGACTCCTGGACCTCACAGCCCCAGGGATCACACTTCTTACACAAGGGTCCTGTACAGCCCTCATTAGGCCTGAGGCTACCTAACTACCCCTCAAGTCAGGTAATTCTTGAGTCAAAAGCAAATGATGAAGGAAAGTTCTGGGCCAGAGCCTCACTGAGGCCTCTGTGGGTAAGGCCGGGCGTGAGAGGGTAAACAGCTTGGGGTTAGAGAGATTCAGTCATCCTGGTGGGCTTTGGGGCACAGGAGCTGACCCTAGTTGTGTGGTACTTGGTTCCTCGGTTGATTAGGACAGGGGTAATAATAAACCCAGGGCTCTGGGATGGTCAGTTTACACATGAAAGATGTACTCTGGGAACTCTTTGATAGCTTTAAGAATTGGGTAGCCCTAGGAAGAGCAGGGTCTCCTCAGTCAACAAGGCCAGAAATGCCAGGAACCTCAAAAATACAGGAAATAAGAAGACAGTTCATGCAACTGACCCTGTGATGAGAGGGTTTCAGACACATTCAGA